AGTGAAAACCTTCTCTGTTTCATAATTTATTTCTCAGTACTCGTGTGTCATTAAGACACAAACTTCACATAATGTGGAAGGCAATGAAAGGTTCTACATGTGGTTTTATTTTAAAAACAAAACTAAACATAGTCGATTAACAAAAAAATCCGCAGTTTAGGTCACAGTTGTTTGCTGAGGCATGTTTGGGGATTTTTACAAAGATTGGGTCGACGAATAATAAATAGCAGCTCAAATGTCGTTTTACCGACTTGCATATATATCGCAATATAAAAATATAGACGCTCTCTTTTGAATATTTTGAGATTGAAAGTAATTAAAAAACACCACACACGACAATCGTCAAAACCTCGTCGTTCTTTCCCGCTTCTTTGAGATTTGTTTTCTCAGAAACTAAACATGTCAGGACATTAAAATAAAAAAAGTATTGTTATTCTTTGAACATGCACCATGAAATATAAAAATTTGAAGCAGAATAAAAAATGGCTGCCACTCGTTGCCTTAATCCAAATGAAACCGCCCATATATAAAGCAAAGTAAAATTTCGGGGGGTGTTCTGGCACCTGAACATCCCCCTGGCTAGGCGCCTAATACTAGGTAATAATTTTTTTTTTTTTTTTTTTTTTTTGAAGGGGTGGAATATTTTGTGAATCTTAATGTTTTTTGTTGCGTTCAAATAATCATAATTTATTTCAAGTTGAGAGCTTGAAAATGGAAACAAACATGTGAAAAAGCTTGACTAGTTCCAGTAACTCATACACTTGACAGAAGTGGAAAAGAAAAAAAAAATCTTATAACCTCCATGGAATAGGCTGAATAAAACAAAACAACTAAACCTTAATCGGAAGCATTAGAACCAGACGGAGCTAGAATCACTCGTACTTTAGTTCTTAAAAAAATATTTTCCACGATTAGCATAAACATAACAGTTTCTACACTGTAAATATTTTCCCGTGCACAATGCCTTCACTGTGGACTCGAAAAAATTCAGACAGTGTTACGAGTGACTTATTGTCATGAATAGTGCATGGATTTGTTCTCGAAAATAGTGCAAAACTTTGGGTCGAGTTGGTTTAAAAGCATTCTGCGCCCACCCGACAGACAGTGCCCAGCGTGCCAACAGTTACGGGAGTCCGCGACCCGCCCTGCACACTCAAAAGCAAATGTCTGAACCAGGATTAGCGGGATGCACGTTATGCCCGAAACATCGACTGCTGCCCTGTTCTTTCTCTAAATAGCAGTGGCCGTCTTCATACCCTGCGAGGAAGCACACTCGCGAGGACAATCTCCGAGAAGGCTGCCTTGCGCAGTCTTTCTTTTTGACTTTGTGACCTTCGAGTAGTCGACTATAGATAGTTTTTTTTATAAATATCGATAGTCGAGTATAGATAGTATACTGTCAATAGCACTATCGATAGTTAAAGTTGGCTTCCAACTTTAACGCCACGAATGAAAGTCTGCTACATCTTTTTCCAAGGCGCAATTTTCGTTCAGGATTGTGCCACACCTGCTCCGAGACAGTAATTTAAGAAAAACACTGACAGGTCAAAATCATTTTTTTTTTTATCGCAATGATTAAAAACGATACCTGGACCTTACCCTCAAAATTCGGAACTTGGGAACTCGGCATTTGTGAAGTTAAAAAGAAAACAATTTCAAAAAGATGCACTTGAAGTTCCCGCACAATCCAGTGCAATTACGTCAAAGACTGAGTCATCCTGCTAGTAAAGTTTCTCTCACAGCTCTGTGTTGTGTTCGCCTGAATCCCCCGATCAACCGCTCTTTGCGTGCTGCCTATTGCTGTGAGCAGACGACGCTTCACTTTCGAGTTTAATGTTTTTTAGGGCCCTTTCAGCGATCTCAAATTCTTTGAAATGGTTTGAGGTGGAAGAGAATGAGCAGTGGACTTTTGTGAGCTATGTGGGGGGCCACGTCGTGCTGGTTGTGCGTGGAAGGCTGCCCCGGCGGAGTCACAACCAAAACTACAATACGCAGACCCAGTTGTTTTGACCGTTTGATGATTTCCTTTTCGAACTCGGAGATGTCGTCGGACACCTAAAGAGGAGAACTTCGTTTGATCCCCCGATTCCTCGATCATCCTTAGTGCTACATCTGTCGAGTGCCGCCATGTTTTTGAGGGAAGATAAAAGGCCAAAAGGCGACAACACTCTGGACTCCAATTTTCGGTATTCCAAAAAGGGCCGTAATGCGTTCGCAGTTGCGTTAAAAAAACATGTTTTACGAATGCTGTTATTAAATATGATAGAAATGTCGCTAAGAAAGCTTCTAAATTTCATAATCGATTAAGTCACAAATAAAAAGTGAGGAGGTAAAAACTAAAAAGAAAAAAAAAAGAAAAGAAAGCATGCGCACGCATGAGGAAATTTGTGTTTTGTGTCCTGGTATTTTTTGTGTGTCTATGACTACAACTTGCATAATTTTTTACAACAAAAACAAATACGACCTTTGGGGTGTAGTGTCCTTTCAAGAAAAGCTAGAAATAAAAATATTTTATTTGTGGTTGACTCTTGTATTTAGAGAAGTAGGAGGAAAGGAAAATGGTGCAGATATGCATTTCACAGTGTCCCTACTTGCCGTTTAGTTTCATCTTAGGTTAGATCACGGTCGAAGGCTCGTCGAGCACATACAACCACGAACACGCATACTAAAAGTGCAAGGCACTGGACATGCGCTGCACTTGATTGGTTTAATTGATGAAAGAACTTATACAAAAAGATGGGCAAATGCCATGATGTTTCACTTCGATGCTGTTTGGTTGGTCCCATTGGCACGTAGCGTCGGATGCGCTGTAATTAAGGTAAAACACAGTACTAAGATGGCTCATCAACCAGATTGACCGGTTGATGCTCTGGCAGGACAACCGGCCATACGATGTCGGCGATGTCAGGAGCTAACCGTCTCGACAAAACATTGCAAAAGGAAGAACCAGGGTCTTGTAAAACATTGCAAAAGGAAAAGACAAAACCAGGGTCTTGTACTCCTGATGGGAACTCTTGATTATCATGTCTGCCGCATGCCTCCGTGCAGCCTCCTCACCGACGTGCACTTGTTGAGCTTCACCATTTTTTACCGGAGTGCTAGGAGCAGCAGCTGATGTGGGCAAGCATCTGGGTTAGCGCGGTAGGCTCAGAAATCACACTTGGTACTACTACAGGTCTATCTTTTTTGGTCTTGATTGTAGCTTGATCTCTAGCTTTTAATATCTGCAACATAACAAAAGAAAAAGTTCTTTCCTGAAATTTTTGGGTGAGGTAGTCAAGGTAGTTCCCCTGCAGCTGTTGATCAGAAGAGCAGTGAACTTTGACTTCACTCTGGTTCCAGTGCCGCTATAGAACACTAACTTTTAAAGCTCAAGTGTAGTTTTTCGTATTGGTGGGTGGTCATTTTTCAGTTATCATAATGTAGTCGGGTTTGGTAGATTCATTAAACTTTGGAGACTTGTTTTTATTGGTAGAAGTGTTCGCGGATATGCTGGTTTTTGCTGGCATTTTGCGGAAATTATATTTAAAAGCTAAATAAACTGCCGAGTATAAATATCTAAAGTGTTGTGCTATGATTCATTTCTCAACCATTTTTAATACTTACCATTGTTAATAGGACCTTTTGTTTGACTGATTATTTTTAAAAAGAAGGCTCTGTGATCCTTTTGAACCCTATCTATTCTTATCACAAAAGCTAACAAGTAATATGCTCCAGTATCAAAAAAGGAACCCTCGATCACTATCATATTTGAACTCATTTCGAGGTGCAATCACTTCTTCATTCTCAAGTAACGTGCTAACAGGTGATGACATCTGCTCCGAAAGCGTCAGTGGCTGCTTCAAACCAATATTTTGCCTGCTACAGAACCTGCTACGAAATGTTGAATGCCGCTTCCATCACTGTTAACAGTTTTGCACCACTAATGCTATGTCCAGTGGGCCTAGCTTGCTTGTCAAATAAGGGTGTGCACCAGCCTCAGCTTTTTCTCTTTTTCATAAATCTGCTTTTAATAATGAAGCTGGCCTTCAATAATGGCAGCAAACCGACGGCAGTCTCCTACCTCGCGGCGTGGAACAAATACTGAAATACCTGAACTTCCCCTTAAAGGGATACTGAACCAAAATTTCGAGCTCACAAGGCCGGGCAGATAGGCGGGAAGCTGCAAAACCAAAAAATATCACTCATACGGCGATATATCTAACGGTTCGTTGTATTTTTTGGAAAAGAAGTGCACAATTGAACCCGGCCGACGAGACAAGGCACGTCACGATTCCCATTCTCTCTCCTCTTCGCTATGCCCCTTCAAGCTGGCGAACCGAAGCGAGGAGGAGAGAAGCGAGGCCGCTTCTCCTCATTCTCAAATTCTCCCGGAGGACAGTTACGTCAAAGAACTCGCTTGATTACGCCCTTCTTTTCCAAAAGTATGGCCATCCGTTTGAGATATCGATGTACGAGTGATGTTTTGGGGTTCGTAGCATCCGGTTCAACACTTCTGCAGCCTTACTTTGCAAAGTCCAAATTTCGTTTCAGTATTAAACTGAAAACCACTCGGGAACATTTTCGGTTTCACTCCGGAGCAAAACAATAAATATTGTTTCAATCACGTTTTCATTTCACAAATAACTTTTTTTTTTCGTATTTGTTTTTTTGTTTTGACATTCTAGTTTTATCCTCTCATCTGCTATTAGAGCTCTACCTTTTCCCTAGCCCTTTCCCGACAGTGGTTTCTGTACCTGGTGCATTATAGCCTCTGTTGCTTTTGTGCCACTAAAACCCAATAGGCCAATCAATCGAACAAGTACGCTGCCTCACACTTTTCTGCACCGCGCTACACTTCCCCTTGCCAGTGGAGGCTGGTGTGGGTGAATCGAATGAGCCCAGTGATGACGGTAGAGGAGGAAAAGCGCAAATCTTGTCTTCCGGTGGTATTGCTAGATTGCCCGTGTGCGTACCGGCATGGCAAGGGTCCACATGTGACTGAACGGCGGCCCGCGCAGGGTGGTGTTCTGCCCACTGGGGGTGCGGCTGGGGCTGAAGGCGCACAATGGTAACCGGCGTGCCCCGGACAACCACCTGCTGGAGAAGGCCTTCCTCAGCAATGGCAAGATGGGCTACAAGCAGGTGCAGGGCCTGGCCAGGCAGCTTGAGTGGACCGAGCGCCGCGTCCAGCGCTGGATCCGCCAGCGGGTCCTGCAGGAGAAGCCCTCCACCCTGGCCAAGTTCACCGAGAGCACGTGAGTCGTCGGTCCCCGGCACGTGCGCTCCTTTTTTTTTTTCTGTGCAACCCAGAGCCGTTTGCATTGCGGGGTTGACTCGGCGTTACCAGATCACATCGGTTGTGAAACTTTCCATAGACACTGCGCAACGAAGAGCGTTTGAAACTATGTCCGAATTCTTGTAGTGGTGGTGCCACAAGAGTTAGGACACTGTGCTTTGGGCGGACAGTGTGCTTTTGGCGCAGAAGACGTGTAGTGTAGACTGTACTCTGTCTGATAGTAAGTCCGATTGCAGCCAGCCAGAGCCACGATCCGACGGAGCCAATCTAGCGGCGCCAAAAGTGCCTTGTCTTTGTGCGTTTGCTATCAGTGGCTGAACCAATCATACATAAAAGAGTATGGGATGATGCCGTGTTCACTGTGTACGATTGGTTGAGCCAATGATAGCAAATGCACAGACTACTAGCGTCTTGATGATACGCTTTTGGTGCCGCTCAATCGACCCCGTCAAATTGTGGCCTTGGCTGCGGTCAAACTTGACTTGGAACAAAGTATAGATACCCGTCTTCTGCTAGCTGCAAGTTTTGCGCAAAAAACTGCACATCATTAGCTCTGTGCTCTTGGATGTCGCCGACTAGTAGGTTTTTTTGGGGAAAATCAACCACAGGTGCGTCGCGCGTGGAGGCACCCCTCTTTTTGCCACTTTAGCAGGCAGAAATTTCGAGCGCATTTAGATACCCTGGGCAACGCAAGGAGACACATTGTTAATGGGACGAGCAACTTTTTAATGCGTTGCAGCACAAATGGTAGTGTCATACATTTTGAAAATGAGTTTGTTGTTGAGTTCGTTGTTAGAAAGCACGAAGGAGGGTAGCCAACGATGACGATAACGTTGCCTAATGCGGAGCGTGTGCCCCGTTCTAGGCGATGCACGAAGAAGCTCCACTCCGGAGCGGCGTTCCGTGGCTGAGTCGATCTGATAACGTTAGCCCCTATCATATACCCACACTCTTTCTGTACATCCCAGAGAACTTTCGCTTACTTAGGCCGACCTCCTGCATTGCCTGCGTACATGAAATCAACATCGTAAGACCGCTGTAGGTTTCCCTCTGAAGTAACAACGAAGCCCCTGCGGTGTGGAGAGCCCAGTTTCCGACTCCGCACTGTAACGTCAGCAACGCGAACAACGAACCGCTACATGCTCTCGTACGAGTAAAACCTGGACGGGAACAGCTGCCGTACCTTTTGTCCCGTCGGCGACAATGGTAGCGTGTAGACAATGCCTCGAGCTGCGTCGGCGGCTCCGGAGCAGCATGTCTGCCCCACAATTCTGCTAATGGCTGGTTTTAATCCCGACCAGGGCACTCACAATCTCACCAAGCCACGAGCAGAGTGGGCACAGTCCAACAGAGATATTACAGACCCTAGATTTAAGAGAGCGTGCAACTCCAACCACGGAGGGCATCTGCAATTTAATGGCGGACAGACTTCACTTCCACAGTTAAATACCTGCGGATTCACTTTTTTTTTAGGAAATCCTGTAGGTCAATGTTTAGGCTCGTGCAAGGAACGTCACGAAATGGATGAAAGGGCAGCTTACACGGGACATAAATTTAATAACTTGCACTATGTAACCAAATTTTAATGTACAAAAATGTTGCTCATTATAAAGGTTAATAGGGAGAAGACATAAAAGCCAAAGTTGCAGCCTGTGCAAGTATTAAATTTTTGAAGACGTTTATGCGAAGCTCTCGAGGGCAAAAACGAAATGTTGTGGTTTGGGGTCTTCCATTCGTCTCTCCAACTTGTCCAGCCTTCGGCAGTGCAGCCGGAGCAGCCCTTTTTGGGGGGCTGGGAGGTGTTTGCAACCGACATGTGTTCCATGTGCGTGTGCATGACCTTGCAGGTGGCGGTTCACCTTCTACTTCAGTGTGTTTTGCTACGGCCTCTATGCCCTCTCGGATGTAAGTGGACACATGCTCCTCATGCCTTCCTTGTCCTCCTGCCCTTGTCAGTATGTCGTGGCCGTATCAACATAGCGAGGTCAGCCCGAGTGAAACCAGTTGTAAAAATTTGTCCTCTTCTAATGGCAGGGTCTCTTCCTTTAAAAAGCAGGCAGCTCATTACCATACCTTTTTTTGGTCATCTAGCTTTTTTGGGGGAAGGGGTGCGCATATGAACATGCCTATGATTCCTGCGCTAGTCTTTATTCAGCTCCCAGATTTGCTTACTTGATATCTGCAAGCAAATCTGGGTGCCGGCTAAAGGCTAGCACTCGAATCACTGAGACATGTTTACGTGAGCCTCCCCCCTCCACTCTTTCCCGTAAATCGTACAATCTGACGTGCATGAAAACGCACCAGTGTTAAAATTAACCTGTTGACTTACTCCACAAGCTTTTACGAGTACCCCTCAGTTTAATGCTGCCATAATAACCCTTGAGGGATTAGTGGATGTGGCATGCCAGTGCAAATTAATATGCTATAAAGGATATTTACTACTTTGTTCTGTGTGTTCGAAAGTTTGGCAGAATAAGCATTTGACCTGTCTTCAGTTTGTAATTGGAGGGGCATTATATAACCTAGTGACCTAACTTCTCACTCGTATAAAAATGTTTTTTTTTTGTACAGTTCTTAGGTTATAATAATCTGTATATGAGCATAAAAAATATGTGTATATACTTTGAGACATGGAGCTTGTAATCACTCCCTTCTAATTGTTCACCTTTTCTCTCTAACTTCCCCGATTGCTTAGAGCATGCAAATTGTTAAACTGAGCCTGATTGCATGCCACTTTTCGTGGGTTTGTTGGTATTTAGTATGATCAGTCGCTCCGCATTTACTCTCAAGTTATGTTCACTCATACGCTACAAGTTATAGGGGGTCGATCCTAGAGGCAGTGTTTTCGAATTGCCATATTTTCCAGCGTAGAAGTCTCAGTTATTTCTCTCAAATTTCTGTTGATGCATGTTGTACAATAGTGCAAATTAGATGCCCTTTTTTTTTTAAGTATTGACCTTAAATGTGGAGATCTGCCGTAAGGTTTATATTTTTCGTTCAATTCATTTGCGAGAATATTGAAACCGGTTCCTGCTTGTGCATACATTGTGATCACGAGATATGATGCAAGCTTATCGATGCAGTTTTGCTGCTCCTGTACAAATATATAATTGTCACTTGTATACCAACTTTTTTTGTGAAAACAAACTTTATAGGGGGTGTAACTTATACAAAGACGTATATAGACCGGAAAATATGGTAACTGCCACCTGAGCCTTCATAGGTTCCAGAGGAAGGTAAAGGAGGCTTTGGATGGGGGTTTCTCTCGGTGCAAAGGTGACATGACATGTTCTCTTATGCCCTCCTTTGTCGTGCAAATGCAGAAGCCCTGGCTGTGGGACACGATGCACTGCTGGTACGACTACCCACACCACGTGAGTGTTTTGGCGGCCCTGTCCGCTCACGCACACTCCTCTCCTCTGCAAATGGTCTTGTGTGGCCCTTTCCTGGCTGCCGTCCAACTTGAAGACAGTTTCCCCTTGGGAAATTGCTTGGAGGAAAGTTTGTGCGGTCAAGCAGGCAGGCAGGCAGGCACTCGTTGAGGGACAAGAGAAAGGGCATCCTCTTGTTTATCTTGTTGTTTTTTTTTTTGTTTTTTTTTTAATAATTTCTCTTAGGGGTGCCTCTGGTGCACAAATATGGCAAGATGGGCAGGAAGGGGATTGTTTGGAAGCTCATTAGGAGTGGCTTTGACTAGGCGTGCCGTTACATTGACAAAACAACTAGATTGGCAGATTTTTTTTCTTTTTTTGCCATTCGTGGATGTTGTTTTTAGACAGTTATGGCTCATTGGCTGTGATTTACCTTGCTTTGATTTCTTTTTGCTTTTTTGTCGAGAGGAAGCAGCAAATGGGCATGTTGACTCCTTGCCTACCATCAAAGGGGGGGGGGGGGGGAAGGGGATATTGTTTGTCGGGGAATTTTAATGACTCCCGGGAGGCTCGAGAAACCATCTTTTAATATAACCGCAACTTTTTTTTTAACAATGTGTTTTCTTAGCCAAATTTTATGAGAAAACGCTCTTGAAATGTTGATGCCACCGTGGCATGACTGAGTGTCATTGGTGTCATGTGACACTGGTGTCATATGTTCCATGATGTCATGTGACACTGGCATCATGTTGCTTATGATGTGTCATGACAGTATGTCATGTGACACTGACATCAGTCATGTGACATGACATCACAGCCACATGATATTGTGTTGTCATGTGACATCATGACATTTGACCTCAGGGCATAGCGTGATGTCACACACATACACTTAGTATGTGCCTCGCTCATTCACAACATATTTTGTGCTCCCTGGTCTTCAACAGCATAATCAAGATAGTGTGATTTTTTTTTTTTAAGAGTAGTATTTAGAAAGTGAATTATACAGATAATCTTGCAAATGTATCTGTGACTGATGGCTAGTTGCGGATCCATCAGAAGTAAGCAATAGCATGAAAGTTTATGTCTCAAGACATTCACATTCAAAGATAAAGGTAAAAATATTGAGTTTAATAATTGCAGTTAGTAAAAACAAAAAAAAATAGTCATCACACAATTGATTCGATTGCACATTTCATGACACAGTGAATTTAAAGTGACGTTTGTATATCCCTAGTAATGAAGTTAATACCATTGTATTACACGTGTGATGCGGTGATCACACCCACAAAAAGAGAGAGGGATATTAACGGATGTCGCTTTATTGCGTGCTTTCTTTGACACGTGTGTTCAGGTGACCCAGATGTCTTTTCAGTATACAGATGGTTTCCTATCTGCAAATAAAAGAGTGTAGAAGTGTCTGAGGGCTTCAAGCGCAAAGGCACCATAACTAGATCTTTGTTGGTGGCTTCAGATTTTTTTCACTGCGACAGTCGTTACTGAAGAGGTTTTGCAGCGGATCCCAAGTTGTGTTTCGTGCAAAGGCTAAATCATTGCCCACTTGCGTTTGGTTGCAACCGTGAGAATTGCGCAGCCCTGTGCTTCTTTGCTACGAGAGGACACACTAGCACGCTGGTGCCATCTCTGGGGTGGCTCTGAAACTGTGTTTAACTAGAGTGAAGGCTTTGCAGAATTTGCGAGATCAAATCTAGGTGTACTATCTACAAGAAATGGTCAATTGTAACATTGTCAGAAGTTTTCAGTTCTGTGGTGAAAGAAATATTAAAAAAAAAATTGGCAAATATACGTAATACAATATATTTAATATTCAGAAGCGACTGCAAGGGGGGGAGCATGAGGCTGCACAATGCACTCTGTCCCAGCCAAACATGGGTGTTTGAACCAGCCTTAAGTCATGCCACGACGTCCTATTATCGTGAGACGACACATAAAATTACTCTGCCAAATGGCGCGAGAAAATTCTTCTAAATTTAGCGGAGAACGTTCCAATGGCGTCGTGTGACACGTGACATTGTGGGGTCTCATGACATTACAAAATGTGATGTTGCGGCATGCGATAGGATTGTCACGTGTCGTCGTGACTTCGCTCGACACACTGACGTCGTATGACATTGTGGTAAGCGTGCAGTGCTTCAACCGTTACTGTAGTTTGTCTGCAGGGCACTGCAAGAAACCGAGAACATTTTTTTTTTCTCGAGATAAGTTGGGCGAAACACGGAAGAGTCGGGGTATTTGGAGGCGTCATTGTAGGTGAGACACCCCGATATAGGGTATTCAATCTACTTCGGCATCTCTTGTCACGCAAAGGTTGGAGGCTTATGGATGCCAAGCAGCTATTCTGGTTTGTTCATTCCATAATTTGATGCCGTAATTAATTAAAAAGCTTTATTTCGCAAATAGTCCCGGTTTCTTGCGCAACGCTTTAGTCCAAGAAATACTGTATAGGCGTTCTTTTCAATGAAACAGAATTTTGAGATAAAGCACCAGTGACAATGATAAATTGACGATGGAACCGTTCAGGCAAAAGGGCACTCTCCGACCACCTGCGAGCACACAAAACGCACAGGTGGCTTTGTTTGTGAAAGGCACGCTGCTGTCAAGGGTTTGATTAATGTTGGGCATCGAGCTGATAAAGGAAGCCAATAAAAAAAATCTTTACGCAAAGAATGCTTTCATTTGGAGGTACTGTAGCACAATACACTGTGCAGGTTTTTTTTTTTTTTTTAATTCTGAAGCGACACAAATACGGTCGTAATGTGGAACTACGGGACGTCCTTAAACTCCTGTATCGACTAGAGTCATCTTGAACCGATCACTGGGCAAAGCGTTCGTAGCTTGTTTTCGCGTTGCAGCTAGTTTTTAAGTGATGGCTTTGTATGAGAACCCTGCACAGATGTTACTTTTTCGTTTTGGTCTGTGTCATACCACAGCGCGGCCATAGGAGAGAGTCGGCAACAGAATGCGGCTCCTGGTTTCACGTCGTATCAGGTGTGACAAATGGCATTGTGCCACAAGAATAAGGGGGGGGGGGGGGGGGAGTGCACTAACACTTCCTTCCTCCCCCCCCCTTCCTATGTAAGAATGGGGGTAGTGCAGTACGGTAGGAACACCTTCACAGTATTTGATGGAATGTCTGAGTTATGCAATCTTTTTAGATACAAGATGGTGCGGTACAAAAGAAATGCCTCTAGATTTCACAAACTATAGTATATTCAACAATGACATGAACCGGAATTGTTGCCGCATTCCTCACTAATGTTTAGTCATTTTGCAGTAAAAACCTCATTACTATCTCTTTTTCTTGTTCTTTTTGCAACCATTTGGCAAGATACTTAATTCCTGTTCCGTCGGAGTGTCGGCCTCGGCTTGGCAGGTTTCAGCTCGTCGTCTTCCGAAAAAGCGGCACCCGTGTTTGGTTCCTTAAGAAATGCACAGACAGTGCTATCCACATCCGTAAAATACCGCAGAAGCGCCCACTTCGATTAAGAGCCCCCTATTAAAGGGGCCCTGCAATCATATTTAAGCGTCTAACTTTTTTGTGGTTTCCACGTCTTTTGGGGTTTGGGCAAGCCAGCGGGCACGGAGAGTGTAACGAAATGTCAGTGCATCATATGTAAACCGGATGATGTGGAAACCTCCTCCACCGACGGGGGCGAACCCGCAACACCGAAAGCGCGCAATATGTGACGTCTTTGGTCCTGGGCTTTCTACTGGTCAGAGCTGCTAAAAGCTTCTTTTTAGTCGAAAAACAAAATATAAGTGGCGCGAACCATTTCACTTATTTATAAAGGTTTTTGTTCACTATTTTAGATCAGAAAAGTAAATGCAGTTCATAAAGTACAGAAACAAGAAATGACCCGTCGACATACCCGCCACCAAGCGGTGGAAAAGGCGGCGCATACTAGAAAGGAGTAGTGAGATCAGGCGCCGACACGGAAAGGTCCCGGATGTACGCACTGCGCTGCGGTCGTATGGACTGGAGGATCTGACCGGCTCCGAGCGTTCTGAAGGCCTTCCGCGAGCAGCTTCGTCTTGCGGTTTGGCCGTTTCGCGGTATGGCAGCGCGAAGTGGCTCGTGTATCAGCCGGCTCTCGGATGATAAGAAAGTCAGTCCGACACTGCTGGTTTCGTGAATGCAACAACCAAGGTTTATTTGGCATCGTTTATATAGCCGAAAACGGGGGGGGGGCGGTACCGGCGGCATGACTCAGTGCTATAGATGACATAGCATAAGCAGCATGATAAGATTGGCATGCGGTAGGATATCGGCATGATACAGCTCCCATTCTGAACTTATTTTTACCCGTGTTTGCTGTCGTTTGTGGCCAATGAAGGGTCATGCAAAATTAGTGTTTAATTGCGCAGCCAATGCAGTGTGAGCCACCCTGGCTGCTTGCTGCATACAGCCTATACAGAACATGCTTTAGTGGCATCCTCTCGCGCCGTCGACACGGAGTGCGACAGCTGTGAACGCTCGCTAAGCTCAATACCCCTCCTCTTGTTCACGGTCACTCAAACAACCAAGGACGTCATGATGGAGGTTATTTTTTGCTTTTTTTTGTTATTTTAATTTGTCTATAACTTTTAAATTAAAGCAAAATTCGAGAAAAGAAAAGTTTAATTAAGTTACTACGTTTCAGTGCGCTCAGGTTCGACACAAATTAAAAACCAGTAAAAAAAGTCATTGCAGGGCCCCTTTAACATTTCCCAAACTGGGGAATCCTGCACATTATATGTAAAGCGCCCGATTTGACCAGACAAGCACCCGATTCTAGATGAACCTAATTTTCAATGAAAGTGGGGAGGGCGCTCCCCCAGTATTTTACGGTACTATAACAATAATGATGAAGCCCAAAATTCAATCTTTATAACCGATTATGTTGCATTTGGTCTAGAAACCGATCGTTTCTAGTCTAGAAACTCTAGAAACTGATCATTATAAGCAGTATGTTGCTATATGTTGTATCGTTATAAGTGGATTGCACTGTTATTATGAGATGCCATTTTTCGTGCAACAAGCTGTATCTGTGCATGGCAATTCATACGGTCAAAGTGAACGCCGTTAACAGTGTCGGGGGGGAGACGGGGGGGATTCTTGGCTGAGTGGGCTAATGCGTCTCTGCCAGGAGCGTTGAGCGAAAGCTTGTTCGATCCTCACCCCCTGCCCGTTTCGATCTGGATGAGACGCCTAGGTTAGTGCTTGTACTGCACCGGCTAAATTTCTCATTACAGCTAATAGACAACTTGCCAGTGGAGGTGTATTATCATCAAGACTGTCTAAACATACAGGCAACGCAATTTTTTTCTTCCAGAATCGGAATTGGGCATTTTATTTAGTGACTAAGAAAACAAAAAAAAAAACAAAAAAAAAAAACAAAAAAACATGGGTGATAATGGAGGCTATCGAAAAATTACTAAATTTTTCTGAAAAATGTAGCAGAAATCCAAATACTGTAAACAACTTATTTTTCGCGGGCTCAATATTTTGCGATTTAGGTCAAAGCTGAAGTTTGGGAATAATTGGCGGGTTCAACTTTTCGCGACGCAGTGGGATCTCAATATGGATTCCAATGCGTTTTACATTTTACCGGAATTGTATGCAGGACCTAATTTTCACGAAATGTAGGCGATTCGCGAAAATTAGGTTCTTGCAAAAATTACGTTGTTTACAGTACCTTATGTTATCAAAAATGTGCTGTGCTTTATAATAAAAAAAATTGGAGGCATTACATTCCTACCCACCCTTGTACTATTTGCTTCACTTTGGTTGTGCATTGTTGTGAAAGCCTTCGGAAGGGCTTAGCAAATGTTCTTACTTGTACCCGGTCTTTTCTCGTTTTTACTCTTCGGCTTTGCACACTAAACTGTGTCGCGTGCAAAACTCAGCGGACGATAATTTATTAATTACGTCCTTGCCTGACACCTTGTGCGTTTGTCTAGTGAAAAGTCCAGAGGTAGAAGTGTGCGGATAGTGTCTTAAAGCAAAGAGTGTTGCATCATTCATAGTATAAAGGCAAACCATGCAATCCCAAGTCTCTTTGCATCGTGGTAGGCACAACTAGCATGGCACTAGTGGGTCTGGGAAACAGTTTTGTAATGTGAAGGATTTTTTGAAGCAGTCTAAGGAGGTAAACAGTTTGAAGAACTATCTCTATACCCTGCTGCGGAATCGTGGAAGGAGCAGGCTCAGAAGCGCCTTTCAAGAGAGCACTGTGCTTCGTGGTACAAGCATGACATTGGCACTTTGTCATATTTTCTCTGGCAGGATAATAACGAGCATCAGATTTTACCGCTTAGGTTCTTGATCCAAAGGAGGCCTTTACACAACACTAGTAATCACGACGGTCTGTCGGTTGTATTTGAAAAATGCGACAGAAACCTGCAATTGACTGTTTACATGTTGTCTTGCGTTCTGTATCCGGTTGTGCCTGCATGTTTTTCGGTCTTTGTATGACCTTTCAGCAGTCGTTACTACAAGTGTCCTTGGGGGGGATGACCACCATGCTGCGAGGCCAGGTTTACAAATCTTACGCTACAGCATTGTAACTAAGAAGTTTGTAAATTATGCACATGGTAAGCTACGCAAAATGTAAAACCATTTTGTTTCGGGAGCACTGATTTGTTCTTGGCCGTCAAGTGCACATTTTTTGTTGTAAGATTGTTTTAATCCGGCCCCGGATTATCTTTAATTATGGTGTTTTGTAGCCGCCTGTGCACTTTGAGGACGATACTTCCAGAACCTTTGTTGCTAAATGTCGAGTTTGGGAGTAGTTTTGCTTTTTTGAAAGTGAGCTGTGAGGTGACGTCTGTCGTTCTGCTTTCAGTCCGTGACTAACGACCTCTGGTGGTACTACATGATAGAGCTGGGCTTCTACATGTCCCTCACCATGTCCCAGTTCATGGACACCAAGCGCAAGGCAAGTGGCGACATCTGGGGGCACCCCTGTGCACCCTTGGGGGTGGGGGAAACTAGTTATCACAGTTTAGAGTGCTCCAAGACTGCCTGATAGATAGCACCAGTGTATTTTCTCGTAAGTGGTTTCAAGCAGTTGCAACCCAGTCGATCGCACTGAAATACGAATGTGGGAACCAACCTATAGTCCTAATGAGTGATTGAAGTGCTGCGCCATTTGATCCAAATTATGACTACATCTTGCACCAAAGTGCCATTTTTGCTAAGAATTGCGCCACACCCGCACCAAAAGGGGCTTAAGCCAAACAAAAAAATAAAGATATTTTATTATTGGTCAACTCTAATATTTAGAGGAGTAGGAGGAAGGGAAATGGTACAAATATGTATTTCGCAGCGTCTTTACTCACCATATAGTTTGTTTAATTGAAGTCGGAGCACAGCCAAAGGCTCGAATGCATACAACCGCAAACACGCATACTAAAAGCGTGAGTCACGGGACATTCACTGCACTTAATTTAGTCAGTCGGTGAAAGAACGCGTGCAGGAAGATGAACGAATGCCATGTTCTCAGCACTTTGACGCTTTTTGGTTGGTCCCATTGGTTTGTGGCATCGGCTGCACCTTGAAATAAGATGGAACGAAGCGTAGAGATTGCTCGTCAAGCGCGCAAGCCGTTTAATGCGTTGGCGCGTGGATCTCAGACTTCGTCTTAATTTCCAGACGTCGTCGGCCATGTCGGAAGCTAAAAGTCTGGAGAAAACATTGCATTGTAGTAGAGTGGCGACTGCTGTGATAAGACAGAACCAGGGTCGTTTACTCCTCATGAGATCACTTGATTATCATGCCTGCCACATGCCTCCATGCCGTCAATGATACCAGCGCGCACGCGTGTCGAGCTTCACCCGTTTGCACCAGAGTGCTAGGAGCAGTGGCTGCCACGTGTGAGCACCTGGGTTAGCGGGACAGGCTCGTAAATTACGCTCGGTACTATTACAGGTCTACCTTCTTTGGTCTTGCTTCTAGGTTGATCTCTAATTTTAAAAAGCTACGTCAAGAAGGAGAGAGAGGAAAAAAAAAAAACACGGGTCTATATTTGAATAAATACGGTTGTCAAGTTTGTTCCCATGCAGCTGTCGATCGAAAGAGCAGCGAAGTTCGACTTCACCCTGGTTTAAACGCCACTAAAGAGCAGTGTCACTTTTAAAGCACCAGTGTAGGATTTCATAATATTTGTGGGTGGTTACTTTTGCAGTTTATAATATTAGTCTTGAGTTTGGTAGATTCATAAAATTTGAGGGGCGCTTTTTTGTTGATAGACTGGTTTGCGGTTATGCTGTTTTTCTAATGGAATTTTAGAGAAATCATATTTACAGGCTGACTAATGGTGTTAAAGTGGGAGGGGAGAGTGGCTTTATCCCAACTAAAGTGTTGTGCTATGATTCAGTTTTTAGCCATTTTTTAGTATCGATTGTCAGTGGAACCTACTCTGACCAAGCCTTGTTCCTAAAAAAGGAGGCTCTGTGTTCTTTTTGCACCATATATTCTTTTTTACAAAGGTAATAAGTAATGTGCTTCAGTATCAAAGCGGAACCCTCAATCATTATTAAATACAAACTCATTTAGTGATGCCATCACTTTTTATTTTCAAGTCATGTGCAAACTCATGTTCATCTGCTCCAAAAGTGTCATCTGCTCCAAAACAATATCTTGCCTGCTACAGGATCTGCTACAAGAGCTCTCACTTCCATCGCTGTAATTTGTTAAACTCCAGCTGGTGTCGGATGAGAATGGATGCGCCGATTAATCAAATAGTTGGTTAACCTAACGTATGTGGAAATTGAGTTTTTGGTCACACAACACCTAACTATCACTGTTCTACATTACACCAGGATGGTGATACTCTTGTTCAGATTGGACTGATAGGTACCTGCAAATGTGGCCGATTGTGCGGCTTCTTCCTTGCTGTCTCACCTGGAATTCATTGTCTGAATGTGCCGCGAATGAAAAGGACCCTCCAAAATTTTGTTATTTGTTTGATGCATTTTTTAAATCTCCACTTACTTATCCATGTGTTGTGTGTAGGGAGCACTGAATTCATGTATTACCAATTGTATATAAGGGCATCACCATCGGCATAAAGATCAGTCAGCGTGCAGCTCCTGTCTCGTGTCAGTCATTGCTCTGCGGCCTTCCGGCCGCGTTCGCCGGCCCACACCACACCATGTTTTGCTTCCATTTCTAGATTCTTTTTGTTTGTGGCAATGGCTAATGTTTGTGACGTGCTCATTAAAGGTATTTGTTTTGGAATGCCACGAGGAAGTAGTACACACCAGTCAAGTTTAAAAGAACTCGAAAATGGGCTTTGAGGTGTTTTTGTTTTGATTTTTGGCATAAACTGAATTTATGTGCTCTAACCATCTTGGAAAACCCAAAATTATAATCACGTGGGGCCTTTTTCTATAATTCAAATGCGACCAAACGTTTCCACACGCCCCTTTTTTCGAGGTAGATATAAAAGGGGAGATTTAAAATGTTAGTCACATTTCTAATAGAAAAAAGAAAAGGTTGCACTTGATAGTTGAGTTTTATGGGATGCTTGTGGCAAAGGGGCATGTCACAATGTTTGGTTGCAATTTTTTAATGGGGGAAAAATGCATGATTGTAATTTTGGGTTTTAAGGATGCTTAGGTTGAGTTATACCATAAAGAGGCAATCTCAAAATTCACTTTAGTGCACCTCTAAGGCACAGCAGGTCCCAAATGCACCAAGAATAACCCTCCAAGTGGCAGGGCTGAAAGGTTGTAATATAATCTCTGCGCACTCGTTACAACCTAGCTGATGGTTCCAATCACTGCCGTGGACAAAGTGAGTCTTTATCAGAAGGCTGAGTGTTGGGACACAAAAGGAAAGAGAAAAAAAAAAAAAAAAAGATGGGACACAGTAAATCACTCTTACGCCACTTATTTTATCCCCACTGTGTCTCTGGTCGCGTTGAGTTTCTGTGCTGTTGACGATGTTCGCCGTGGCACTTACTCTGAACTTGGCAGAGCAAGAAATCTCCCTTTAAGTGGAGGTGTGGGACAAAAACAAAAGGGCAACTTCTGTTTAAAAAGTGTGCCATCAGGCTTTTGGGTGCTTTAACATTTTTGATTCTTCATCTTTTATGTATAAAAAATTATCGGGACCAAAAGTAATCACGAAAATAGTCAAATACGCATTTGAAGCACGGCACACAAAGCGACCCAGAAAGACTTTGCGTTTTCGTGTGTTTGGTTCTCCTAAATGTGGCGTCGCCAGCAGTCACATTCATTTTGAAAGGTAGACTGAGCCGTCTTCCCTCAGTCACATTCTGCGGTAGCTTGTATTTCTCAAGAAAAATAACTTTTTTCTCGTCCCGACAGGGTGCCACCACGCGTTTGTGGTGCGGAGACACCCTACAACTGAAATTCGGGACATGAGTTTTTATAGCAACCAGCCATAAGTATTTTAGTCCGCATTCCACCTGAAATACAGTTGATTATCAGCGCAATTTCAAAACAATGGCTTTCTAAAGCAGGCATGCTTGTGTCCGTAGACGAACTCAGTAGTACCTACAAAATTATTTTATAGAGCTGAAAACTTGCACGCAGTTCTTCTATATGATTGCCAACATACCCTGCAAATTCCATTCGGATAGCAGGCATGTTTGACTCCATAGATGAACATACGGTTCTCATTTGTACCTCCAAGATTTTTTCGTAGAGCTGAAATTTTGCCTGAAATTCTTTTATATGATTGCCAACATGCCCTGCAAATCTAATTCAGGTTGAAGAAGTTAAAAAAAAAAAAAAAAGGCAGAATGAACATTTTGTTTTGGCCCTGTACTAACCTGACCGGCTGTACCCTCGTACCCAAGGCATCATTTTTTTGTACTGACTTTAGTTCTAACAAACGAGGCTACTTCAGTCTTCAGCCCAGCACAAACAGTTTTTTGTCTGCTTCTTTTTGTACGTCGAACAATGTAATCCTTGTGGCGAGGCTGTCCAGGGTGTTCGCTCCGGGAGGTTTTGACGCTTGGCCGTGCCCTTCCCTTGCAGGACTTCTGGCAGATGTTTGTGCACCACATCCTCACCATCCTGCTGCTGTCCTTCTCCTGGGCGTGCAACCTCCACCGCATCGGCAGCCTGGTGCTCATCGTACATGACTTTGCGGACGTTCCCCTTGAGGTGCGCCGCCCCCCTCCCCCCTTCTTGTTTGGACCGGCAGTATGATGCCTGGAACGGTGTGTCTCCGGCTTGAGTGTTTGTCACGTCCTCGTTTGGGGCCCTTCGGTTGTAGCCTGAGAATGCCGTAGCAGTTTTGGTGCTGGTGCCCGTCGCAATCCTGGTGGTGGCAGGGTAGTGGAGGTAGTTGCGGCAAAAGGCCGTTCTGCTGTGGGTCGTTCTTCGGCTTTGCAGTCCACGGAAACCTCTGTGGCCACGAGCGGGAACACCGTGATGACGGAGACACTTTCGTTTGCTCGCTCTTTTTGCCGGAACTTCTAGGACAAACCGCGGGGATCGCGAGATCCGACAGCATGGCTGGCCAGTCCCTGCGACGTCATATGTTGCCACTTCGAGACCAATTTGGATGCATGGGCGGTGTGAAACACCAAACACACCAGTCAAACATGCAATCTAAACACCGTACCGGGGAAAAGCTGTTTATGGCGTGCTTGACGACTGTCCCCCCCACCCCCCGTTTGGTTGCAGGCTGCCAAGATGGCGAAGTATGTAAAGCGGCAGCGTCTGGCGGACGCCACTTTTGCCGTCTTCACCATCTGTTGGCTTATCTCCAGGCTGGGCCTCTACCCGTACAGGTGGGTTGCCCGTTTTACGTACTAAGCGTTCGGATGGAATTAGATTGTGACATCCAAGTTGCAGACTTTCTATACTCCGTTTCATACTTAATATGCAACGCTGTCAAAGCTACTGGCACGAGTGCGTGGCTTTGTCTATGGTTTCATTCGCGCGAGCGCTCGTGCAAATGATCAGCGATATCAAGCCTCATGCTCACGCCAGTAGCTTTGGCAACGTTGTACGCTAAGTGTGAAACAGAGCATAGCTGACACTAAAGAAAAGAGAATTGTTTTCTTAATGATGAGTCGAGTAGGATTTACTTTAACAAAGCCAATATTTTCTGCTTCCAGTGAACTCGACAGCATGCCGTGTTGTCAGGTTTGTACGTTGTCCCACGCCGGCACACACACACCAGCGCTAGATTATTTTTTAAATAGATTCGAGTTTTTTTAGGAAGACTGCCGATATGCAGGGCGTTTTAGATAACTCGGCCAAAGACTGAAAAAAAGCTGGTGCACACTACGGGTGTCGAACCAATGCAGCGTTGTTCTCGGTCCTCTCGGAAGTGTGGATATTTTATGTGACGTGTCAAGCTGGCTAATAAATGTAGATTAATTTTTTTTACATATTAATTTGTGTGCAAACTTTCTAATATGGGAGTTGTAGTGCTTGTCAAAAAAACTGACCGTATCTCCACGTGGTGAATGATGTTGATTGGGGCGAAGCTCTGGTGGTGCTTGTCTGCGTAGACGCTGAGCCGCAGCATGCCGAGCCTTTAGTTCATTTTCATTCATGTCAGGAAGAGGATTGTGGTATGAAACGTGGTTATATACGCATTTGAGCATTTACTGCAGCATTTTCTCGTCTATAAACGTTGAGCCAATGCATGCAAAGTTTAATGCGATTATATACGCATTTGACCGCAGCGCCCTCTCCTGTATAGACGTTGAGCGGCTACATGCAACGTTTCATCCATGACATCCCCAGCTCTTGAGTTACTACCACATCTCACAGCCCCCTTTTCGTCCCGCAGTCGTGGCCGAGTGGTTAGGGCGATGGACTAGAAATCCATTGGGGTCTCCCCGCACAGGTTCGAATCCTGTCAACTGCGCAAACATTTCTTTTTTTTTCATCATTTTTATTTTTTGCTTTACACAAACATGTGAGCACGAGCACCAACAAGATTGATGTGAGCACGGACGCCGGACGGACAAGGCTAGACCCTAAGGAGCTTCGCCCCTAAAAGCATCCCATCGTGTCGTTTCCATCAAAAAACCTTTCGGGTGTTTGATTTTTTTTATAACTTTAAACTAAGTGCTTGAGATTTTTAAAAAAAATCTCAAGTGACCACTCACCAGCAAACTGCAATGTCAGATCCCTTGGTCACATAGAATTTTTTAAGATCTCATCTGCTCTCTTCAAATCGGGTGGCAGCTTGCGCCACATAGCTGTAGTCCCTTGCAACCCAAGAAGGAATCGCGAGGAAAAGGAAGGCCGGGGAGATGGAAGCAGATGGAATGTTAGAGAAGGGACTGGGAAACCCCCTCCTCTCTCCAGCGTTCCATCTGCTTCCTCCTCCCCAGCCTTCCTTTCCCTCACCTTACCTTCTTGAGTTGCACCGGACTATAGTGTTACAACTAGAAGTTGTGACACAGAGTCTGACAACCTATGTCTGAAAAAGCATTGAGACAATAGAGTGTCAGGCATCAGTTCTTGCACACCTCAATGCAATCAATCCACAAACCAATGTCACTTGCAGAAAAAAAAGTTTGAGCTGAATCGAAGTGCAAATGAATTTGTCACTCAACCCTTTTATGATGCTTTGTCCTAGGGCCTTCGAGACTTTAAATTATAAGTAAATAAATAAATGAACCACGATCATGTAGCTTAGGTTGTTGCTAAACGAGATTGTGGTAAACAAAATTTAAATATAACCACAACGGCCTAGAGGCTTCCACTAAAATAGCTTATAGTGATCTGTCGGTCAACCGGAAGACACCTGCTTCCGTAGATGAGAGGTCTAATGCACTATCTTTCGTTCTGTCCTGGATCCTCTGAATCGTAGTTTTTTAGGCTTTTTTTTTAAATTTTCACTATTCTAGAGACAATCACCAATGAAACTACATTGTATTTTTTAAACAAGCTTTAATATTACTCTTTCGGCTCCTCTGTGCTACGCTGGCAGCACTTCCAATGACTTTGTTGTTTGTCAAGTTTTACGTTACTTCTTTGCTGAGAAAAGCTTTCGATGGTGCAGTTCCAAGTTGCTTCATTTTACCAGATGCTCCCTCGCATCAGCTGGTGCTGCTCCTAGCACACCAGTGCAAAGGGGTGTAGCTTGACACGTGTGCCTGTGCAAAACTGTGAAGCACGACGGAGGCATGCAACAAGCAGTGCATGATTACAAACTCCAAACCTAGCAGAACCGGGGGACTGAATACAACAGGAGTGTGCTACCGGACGGGCGGAAGTTGTTAGACGATTAATAAAGCTAACGCAACGAACGGGGAAGTTCATGCAGTCATCCCTATGGGAATCCAACGTGGTCGGTGTCTGTGAACATGGCATAGAGGGAAATGTCTTAACTAAAGACATTGTATCAACGAGGCTCTTTCGTATGTTATTTCTATAATTCAAACTTCCCATAATTGTAAGAGAATTTACTGATTTTTTCAGTTGTGAACTAACGAAAGCCTACTGCATTTGGAAATTTTCATCTCATCGCAGGCAGAAACTTGGTTTTAAATTTAAACTTTCTTTTACGAAAAATTGTCACGTGGACATTTTTAAAAATAAAGAACACACAAAAAAATAAAAAATCGGCAGATTTGTACTGTTTGCAAGTTAAACGGCCGTCACGGAACCTGAAATTTGTCTCTCCTATTCTGGTTTTCTTGACGATCTTGATGTCATTGGAAAGTTCAGAACTAGCTCTTTGGAGTTATTGTAAATATATAAATAAAATTTGAAACCTACACATAGATGCCTTGAAAATGCCCTTATAGTCATAATGATAATCTTCATTTGAAATATGAATTATTTCTTTCTGAACGTGCTCAATATTCAAGGCTCAATTTTTGATAGCGAATCTCACTCGTATCACGTATGCAAATCCAAGTCTCGACATTACTAAAGAGTTGAAAAGATTAATCAAGCTATTAGGGTTCCTAAAATTTAAAGCCTTTGGAAGCCTCGTGTGTTTTGCAGACCTGGATTGCCCGATCCTTGCACGGCGGTGGTTTTGTGTGAATATTGATAAAATACTAAACCGTTTGTGGAGAATGCCTTTCAATGGAATGCTCTCTTCTCGCTTGCAGGGTCATCTACAGCACCATGTTTGAAGCAGTGAAGGTGATTGAGATGTTTGCCGCCTACTACATCTTCAACTCGCTGCTGACCGCGCTGCAGTTCCTGCACATCGTCTGGACCTGGATGATTGCTCGAATAGCCTTGCAGGCCATTTCGAGCAACGGGGTCAGTGCACCACAAATGCTTTCACCGTTTTCACCCGCTTGTCCGCGTTACAGTTTGCCAGTTTGCCGTGATTTGGGATCATGAAGAATATTCCGCGGTATAGCATTGCAATATCTGATTCGCGATTTCATGACGTTGTACAGTGGGCTCGTTCGATTTACCCGCACTGGCCTGTGCTGGTGCAGAGAAGAGTAGCGCACAGTGCAGTGGCATCACTTGGGTCAGTGGCACCCCCGCCTCCCGTTCTCGTGGCCTGCCGCGACACCCCCCTGAGCACTGCACCCGGGGCGGTCCGCCCGCACCCCCCCTTCTTGTGACGCCACTGGGGCAGTGTACTTCTGATATGTGCCGTACTGCACTCCTAAATCGAATGCAGCTGTGTGCACAGAGTGTAGCTGGTAGAGAAAGTGTAGGTAATTCGAACGAGCCTATAATCGGTGACAGGTGAAGAATGCGGCAAATGCTCGGCCTCCAGCGCAAGCTTTCCGTCTTTGAAGATGCTTAGTCGCAAGCACGGCCAAAGCTTGGCGGAAGGCGACGAGCACGTGTTGGAGGCAGAGCTTTTAAAGCACATTCGACCAGTCGCTTTTTATAGTGATCGGCTCCCAGCCAATCGCCGTCGAAGAAGAGATTGGCCAGGAACCGATCACTACTATTGACAAAAGCAGCAATCGGTTCTGTCGGTAGCGGATTATGTTGAGCTGCTACACTTTGCAGCAGTTTAAATAACGTTTGGGGTTGAAACATTACCCGCCGTGCTGGTCTTACCTGTTGGAAGTTCGAGAGTTTATTGATGGCGATGTGAGCTGTTGACAGGCAATGGTGTCGAGGTCCTTTTATGGGTTGCCACTGGCTCGTGGCCTTTGAAGGTAGCACTATGATGTAGATTCTATTTGGGTGCCACGGGGCAACGGCTTGGATATGCCAGACAAAAGAGGCTCGTTCCATTTACCGTTTTTACTAGAGTTATAGCTGCACCGTTTGCGATTGACGTCTGGTCACATAATCTCTAGTAGATTACCCAAATACTGAACCATCACAATCATCAAAATACCAGGTGCTTCGCGAGATGACATCCACAACCAAAAACATTATCTGCGCCGCAACACTGCACATGATGTTTCACGTGCCCAAGATTCAGCATGGATTATACGTTTACTTGGGGCGGTTTTTGTAACCTCAATACTTGCAATGTTTTTTGCCGAAAACACAGTGATTCTCTACATGTGAGCCGTGTAGGAAATACACGCATGAAACTTGTTTACAAACAGTGCGGCCATTACTCGAGGAATTCGGTAATTGCACCGGTGCACGGATAGGGCGGGTGGGGCAGCTAAATCGAACATGCCTAGTGTTGCGCTGCGGCAGAGAAAGAAATCGACGCTCAAGCTTTTGGACGACCTGGAACAGTGCCAAACTTTGTGCAGTGTTCAATGGCCAACTGAATTCTACCCTTGAGCCTATTTCCGTCGCAATCTTCAAATGCCGTCTGGTTCTTCGGCAATGGCCGGTGCTAAAGCTGGTGTTGCGAATGGAATTGTGGGGACACTTTGAGCTCCTCTCTACGGTAAAGTCTCGAACGAATATTCTCGGCTAAAAGAGAATACGCTAGGGCTCTAAACTGGGCAATTTGGAGGGAATTACTTAGAAGGGCTCAGTTTTGGAGGTTGCTAACAGGTGGATGAATGGATAGATCAAAAGATTTTGTACATGATCCTAAACGGCACTCTCCACATCGAATGTTCCAATAACTTGAAACCTCTATTATCCAGGTGCCCACTAAAAAACAATCAAGGAAATAAGACAGTTCGGGCTCAGGACTGACTGTTATAGATGCTTATTCTTTCTTCTCTTGGGAGATTCAAAACTGCAACCAACTAACAACCATTATTATCTTTATAACGCCTTTCTATAATTTTGTTACGGCTCTAAGATTGCACTTTCATCAATTTTTGAGTTATGGCTATGCATTTTTGTTTTGTACATTCTGTAACCACTCCAACTATGACTTTTTGATTGGATCTAGTGGTGTTTGTGAATAAATAAATCGGTAATAAATAAGATGCTGGTCTATGGCTCCAACGGAATTAGGGCACACTATTTTATTGGAATTTTTACTTTGCGATAATTGCTATAATAGTATGCAACACGAAGAGCTGCTACAAGCAAGTTTCCCTAGATTTTTTTGTTTACCGTCGTGTAACGGTACATGGTGTTTAAATGAGTAAATACTAGATGTAAAAAATAGTGTGGGAAATTTGAAAGTTGCCACTAATTTTACTTTGTTTCTAAATTTAATAATGGAAAAAAGAATCCCAGTTCTATGTATGCTTGCACTATCTTATCGTTGTCTTAGTTGCCAACCCTCTTCTTCGCTGCTGCTTGCTTGTGGTTGCTAACACTATACTGGGTCTTTGATTTTAATTCAAACTGGTTTATTAAAAAAAAAGCTGCGAAAGGCAGTATAGTAATGCGGTCTGTGCAGGTGAGTTACTTGACCAAGGGGACATAATATAGGGGGCTCATTGCCAGAATAAGTCTGACAATTAACTAAAACTTGTTAATTAACTTTTCAGTTTGTGAAAATAAGCATGTGGTTACGATAAGAAACTTGCTGAGTGTCACCTGAAACCACTAAATTTGTCAATTTTGAAAAGACTTGAAGCACATGGTAAGTGCGGGGGTCCACTCATGCAACAGGAACAACACTGTCTGTCTGAAAACACTGATGAGTCTTGTGCCTGCTGCTAGAGTGGAAACTGTAACGTGCCCCCGCACTTACCATGTGCTTCAGGTCTCTCGAAAATTGACTTTTACATGGTATTAGATGACGCTCAGTAAGTTTCTCATTGGAACCATGAGGTTATTTTCACTGATTAAAAGGCTAATTAACAAACTGTAGTTAATTATTTGACTTATCGTGATGATTAGCCTCCTGCATCATGCCCTTCTGGCCGTATAACTCGCCTGCACAGACCGTATTAGTGTACGTTCTGGGGCTCTCTTAACATAAATCTGAAAATTAAAATCAAACGCCCTGTATATTCAAAAAAATATGAAGCCGACTGCGGTAGAGGTGTGCTATGTTTCGGGCTAATGTTGGGCAGGAGGTTGAACAGTTGTCCGATTATTGCAGTTCACTTCAGCTGTAGGGAATACGAACCACATGTTTGTTTCTGACGCAACATTTGGCAGGGAATCATGCTCAATAAGCAAAGCACCGATCGAACTCGAGCCCCAGGAGACTGCAAATGCAGCGCTCGTGTATAATGTGCGACATGCACTCTGTCGAGATAGGTGGCATAAACATCAAGTGCACACTACTTGTGTTCAGTAAACACTGAGCTGTGCAGAAAGCAAGCTGGACAAAGCACTTCCTGTAGCTTGAACCCCTCGCCAATAGTGGTGCTTTTTCGTACAGAAATCGACCTAGTATGCTGCAATGCGGGTTGCCGACATGAGCCTAGTTCCTTTTGGACACATTGGAATTAATTTTCTTGCAAGGATAGCAAGTTGAGGGCAAGTTGTTGATTCATAATGATTAAAAAGCGCAACAAGACAACGGACACAGAAGAAGACACAGACACAGTGCCGTGTCTGTGTCTTCTTGCTGTGTCCCTAGTCTTGTTGCGCTTTTTCATCATTAATTTTCTTAATGGACGGACAAATTACCCTCATTTCTGAAGTCGAGCAACAGCACCTTAGGACGCAGGTTTTGCCTTCGCATTTTGAAATATAATCCTCTACACATTTGGGGATAGCTAAAAGAAAAATAAGAGATGGGCATTTTATGGACAGGTGCTAATTATTTCTCAAAAACATTCCCGTGGTAAGGCGAGGTTGCAGCTTTGGGGCTTGGTCGGCGTAACGGTACCAGCGCCGGGAGCAAAGTTTGGCGGATGCGACTGGGATCGGCGCTGACGCGCCCCATGTTGTCCCCTCGCAGGTGAAGGACCTGCGCAGCGACGACGAATCAAGCAGTGACAGCGACGAGTCCCCTGGTCAGCTGCAGAACCACATGCTCCAGGCCGGAGACCACAAGAGGCCCAAGAGCCGCAAGGCGGACTAGAACGAGGGAGATGCCCCCCACCGCCTGCGGAGCACGGCGGAGCCACGCCCCACTCCGCCCGAGTCGCAAGCACCTGGCACGGCGGCGCAGGGGCGCAATCTCGGCTTCCGTCGTCGCCGGCGGAGCCTACAGGCCTTCTCCCTCGGCCGCGCGGCAGGCAAGGTCGCCCCTCTCTCCCCTCTTGCGCTCAGCGCCTGGAGGGGGGCGGGGGGTGCAGGTGACAAGCCGCGCTTTGCCGAGAGGACCGGGGGCTTCTGGCAGCCGCTGGAGGCAGGCGCGAGGAGCCACTGGACGGTCCGGCAACCACGTGTGCGTGCGCCGAGGTGGATTTCTGGTCAGGGCACAAGCGAACTACTAGACAAGAGCACGGACTCTCTCTTCTTCGAGGGAGGAGGAGGGAGCCATCTTCGTCCGAAGGCGCCTTCGGAGAACCGCCACCGGGTCGTGTGGCGGCCGGAGTCTCGACGGCTTCCTCCCTGTCCACGGTTTTTTACACCCTACTTTTTCGTTGGTTTTTTTTTTTGTTTTGTTTTTTAGTTGGTTGCTTGCCTTTAATAAAGTGGAGCAACCTCATGCTTCTGGGCGACACAGAGGGGCAGCCCGTAACGCGCCTTCACCTCGGGAGACAGGGGTGGAAGCGTAACGTACGGAACGCGGGGGAAGCTTCGAAACGGGAGGCCATAGGTTTGGGGGCGACGAGATTTGAGCCAAAGACTATTTTTGTATCGTGTTATGTGTTCTTTTTCGTGCGTGTGCAACGTCCGCCTCTGCTGCAAAGTTGGCAACAGCGGCGTGCTTCTCTCGACGGAGTCTGACCCCCCCGAACCCCGGGGGACGCTGGCACACTTTGTGCTCCCGCCTTTGCAGAACGGCCAACGTACTACCCCCGAAATCGCGACGCGCGGTGTATTCGCGACGACCGAGCGGCGTGTTGGGCATGTCCGACACGGATGCAGTGCTCCTCCCTTTTAGCTCGCGGGCACTTCATGTAGCAGCCACTTCAAGAGCACCTTTCAACGGTAGAATGTCTGCAATTTGGCCACTACTTAACGCAGTGTCGACCTGGGTTCTGCTTGCTGCACCGCTGCTTGCCTCCTTTCCAGACGGAGCCTCGACGTGCGTGTGTGTTGCGAGCCTTTGGGGAGAGGGGTACGGAGAGAGTTTAGCCAGGAACGCCCTTGTCTGTTCACCCGATCAAAGCGTGGGGAGCTACTGCCGCTGACATTTTTCCCCTTAGGTTTGTTGCACTGGGCCTTGAGGGTCTGTTGGAGTGGGACATGCATTCCAGCGCAAGTTTGGGAGCCGAGTCGCGGCGGCGTTTCTTTTGTACGAGGGGACCGCGGCCATCGTGCAGGGGCCCCCGCTCGTGGCCGGCTCTTCTATCGAATAAACATTGGTTTCTCCTTTTCTGCTTCCGGCTCTTCTGCCGTCTTCTGCGACTCTCAGCACTTGGAGCCACCTTGTAAGGTATGTTTCAGCGTGTGACACTCCTGCTGTCTTGGTGCATAAAATCATTGTAAAGCTTATGGGAAGTTGCATTTTTTTAATTACGAGAAAACCTGCGATGCAAGTACCGATACCTTGGATAGTCTTTCTTGATGCTGAGCGTACGTTTCTTTCCAATTTGAATCGGCGAACTCTCCGATGTGCTTTTGCGGGTCTCTGCTTTCAACCCTATTCCCCTCTCCGCCAGTCTTCCCTTTTTTACGAACCAACTGCCGACCTAGCTTTTTCAGCACACCGCCCCACTTGATGCCCATTTCTTCTCTTCCCTAGTTCCCTCGCTTGTTAGACTTTTTTGTGTTTTCTTTATTTGGGTGCGAATGGCTTCGCTGGGTTTCCATAGGAAGAGCGGCACCCGTTCCCGGCTTGAGCGGCGTCGGCGTAACCGCGTGGTGCGTTATGGGATGTTCCCCATAATGACGTCACGGGGGTCACAGATGAAGTCACGAGGGTCACTCGTGACGTCACCGCGCGTTGCATTATGGGTAAATTTCGCCGCTAAATTTAGGGGGAAATTTTCCCCGTTAATTTTAGCGGAAAAAATTTCCCGCTAAATATAGCGGGAAAACTTTCCCGCTAAATTTAGCAAAAAATTTCCCCGCGGAATCTGGCGGAAAATTTTCCCCGCTAAATTCAGCAGAAAAGGTTGCTCGCTAAACCTAGCACGAAATTTTTTCGCTAAATGCCGCTACTAATGGCGGATTCGCGTGGTCAATCGTCGGCAACTTATTTTGCCGGAAAACCGGCAATAGTGTTCGCGTGGTCAGTTTCCGGCCGGCGCGCACCGTTCGGGTGGTGGTTCTCCGGCAAGCACCGGCAACTTTCCGGCGCTTTTTCCGCCCGAGCTCCGAACGGCCGGGCGAGTGGGCGCCAGACTGTATCCGGTGTCGTCACTTCCGAAATGAGAGAGAAGGTCAGTGAGAAAAAAAATGAACGAAAGAAGGAAACTGATTTGAAGTAACATTAGCAGCCGCTACGAAAGTCAATCCAAGTCGTTGGGACGTGAGTGACGGCGGCGACAGGTGCGACAGGCTCTCACTAGCGGTGTCGCGCGGGCAAGAGGCGAAGTAAACTGCCACCGTCTGGCGTTTCGTGTTCGGGTGGTGAGGGTCACGTGGTGTGCCGCCGGCGCGTTTCTGGTTGCCGGTTCCGCCGGCTCGTTCTCGCCGGCGACTGACTACCCGAATTCGCCATAAGCGTGCAAGGCGGGCGAACGAGACAGAGGAACGGAGGCAAGGCCTAGCTCGGACGGCCGAAATGCGGGCTGCGGCGAAGCGGGCTCGGCGAGCCCGCTTCGCCGGGAAAAATATTAACAGAAGATCCATTCGTGGATTTTTAGGGAATGTGTTAGCATGACCCTTGGGAAACGCCACACGTTCCCCCTTTGGGAGCGGTAGCACTGGCCCCGTAACGAAGCCAAAATGAGGCAGCAAAATCGAAAGCCGAAACAAAAGTGTAGGGGTCAGTATTAACGTTTCCCAAAGGCATTCCCAATGGATCTTGCTGTGCTTTAAAATGTCTTAAATTCACGTACAGTAATACGGCATGCCTTCTGTAGACATGCTTTCTTTAACATTTTTTTTTTTTTTCACAGTTTTACGGCTTTAGGCCAGCGCGAACAAGGACGTGCATGCCTTTCCTCTACCAGCTCTGCCTGCTCACGTGGTCATGCCGAGCCCCCTTGTCCCCCACCCCTCGAAGCGCACGGCATCAGTCGGGCGAGAGCCTCTTCCCTCTTCACACCAACGGATGTACGTACAGTAAACAAGCGAACCATGCCAGCCTCGGCACTGAAAACGTGACGGGAGAGACGATGGGGGGGGGGGGGGGGGGGGAACTGAATGAGTGGTCACACCGGCGGAGAATGTGGGCACCGGTGACCGGACACTCGGCTTTCGCACTGGGGTGCTATTCTGGTCGCAAACGAAACCTTTCGAGTTGTGACGTATCGAGAAAGAAGGGGCGGAGCCTCAAACTAGAATGATTCTTGAGGCTCCGCCCCAACGTTCGGGTTCACGCACGCGGTCAGCTAGAATCTGACGATGCCCTACAACGCGGTGATGTGTCCACGCGTATAGAAGATGTTTATTAAGGATGGACGGAGGGAATGAGTCGATTGCACCGAGGCCTGGACCGACCTAAACTCGCGGTATATAAAAAAAAAAAAGAAGAAAAGAACTGTACAAAACACTTTTTGACTCGTCAGATTTGTTTTAGAAGAAAGCTGTGAAAGCTACATTAATGCGGTCTGCGCATTTGAGTTATACCCAGCCAGGGGGACATAAGATAGGGTGCTAATCGTCGTGACAGGTCAGTAAATTAACTAAGGTTTGTTAATTAACGTTTTTTAATCAATTAGAAACTTGCTGAGCATCATAGAAAACCACTAAAGTTAAGAGATTCGGGACACGTGGAAAGCGCTGAAGTTATTACTCGTGCAACACTGTCGCAAAGCTCTTGGTGTGAGAACTAGGGCTGGGGGGGGGGGGGGGGGGGGAGGGGGGGGGGCGAGCGATTTTTTCGTCTGTTATCATTCGGGTTTTTGGTACCGCCAGCTTTGCGCCTGTTACACGAGTAGTAAATTTAGCGCACCTCTGCGCTTCTCACGCGCACCAAATCTCCTAAATTTTACTTCCTTAGTGGTGACACTGAGCAAGCTTTTTAATTTGGAACCATATGTTTATTTTCACTTATCTAAAGGTTAATTAGAAAATATTAGTTAATTATCCCTATGGTTATATTATGGTCCCCTCCACAGAGTGCATTAGTGTAGCTTCCACGGCACTAAGGTTATCGCTTCTTAGATTGGATGTTCTTCCTCCTTGGTGGTCTGGAGGACCACATGGAAGAGGGAGGGGAGATGGGCGCTGGGCCTTGGTGGCAGTGAGCGGGTCAGGCGGGACAACTTGCTTTAAAGTTAATGGGTCCAATACTTATATCTTGTCTCGCCTGTGCTCTTATTGACAGCAGCCTGTCCCTCTTTCCCAATTTCCCGTGGGGGGTTAACGTTCTCATCCGGCGCTCCGAGCCCAGGGGCGAGACGGCGCAGACGGGTCTGGCCCTCAGACACAACAAATCATCCCTGGTACTCGGAACACCGACTGGAGGGGCATGTGCGGACAGACGAAGCACAGCACCCGAGACACTTTTAAGGAATAATCTACACTTGTTAAAGGGGAGCAACAAACGACTCTCGAAACATGCACAACCCCAAGTGGCACGTGGCACTGGCCGACCACCAGGTAAAAACACTTAGGCGGAAAGCCTTCCCAGCCGCAGACAGCTGAGCGAGGAGCGGAACGCGCCCCGGCCCGCCGCGCCACGGGCTCCCTGCCCCGCGCACAGCTTCTCCCGCTCAAAGGTCGTAAACATTCCGCAGCTTTACAACGGCTTTTACAGCGGAGCTGTTAAGGGCTCGTTTCCTCAGGATCGTGTCCGGTACCAAACAAATGTCGACCCAACACTCTGGTTGCCGCCGTCGCTCATAGATGGCGGTAGCTGTCCAGAGTGTTGTGTTCGCCGGTTGTCTGCTTACGACCGTCGCTCATAGATTGCGGCCACCTTTCCAGCCTCGGCAGCCAGACAACTGGTTGCTGTCATCGCTCATAGATGGCGGCAACATTTCTTCGAAGGAAGAAGAGCGGGAGCGGAATCAGCGGCGATGTGCGCAGCAGCGCGAATGGTTCCGCAACCGCAACGAGACCGCGCTATCGCCTAAAGTTACACTGCCGTCGAGCGCTTCAGATTCCCTTGCGAAAGAAGAGCAGATCGCTCGCCTGGAAAGCCACCGCTGAGAACACAAGCTACAGCTCCGCTGCTGTTCCTTCTTCACCAAAATGAAAAGGCTGAAAGTTAAAAAAAAAAAGTAAGACTGAAGAAAAACATTCGGTATATGCACTTCTAAGCCAGCGTCGTGATTAAAATTCAGAAGCGTGCGTATACAGTTTTTTGCCTTGTCATATAGGTGACATATCACCTATATGACATGTGGTCAACCTATACGTTGACCACATGTTGGGGGTGAGTCCGTGTCTTTTCCCACGCTGCTCTCCTGTTCGGCGTGCAGGCAAACTTGTAAACGTATATAACCCGCTGACTCCAGTCCGGAGAATACGGTAATTCCAAAGCGACGTGCCACGCAATCTAACCAAACCTCGTGAAAAAAATTTTAAAAAAAGTTGGGATTTTATATTTTTAGAGAAATTATAAAAGCGTGCCCCTCGCTCGTGCGATCGGATTATCGAAATTTGACTTCCGCAATCAGGGAGAGTGCAAGTGACCGAAGACGTGGCTGCGCTCCCATTCATTTCGGAGGCATCGGAGGGTGGGGAGCGAGAAGCGTGTCTTGTCCTCCTGCCCGAGCGTCCTCTGGGGACAGGCACCGAAATATCGACGCACGCCAAGTGTCTCTCATCTCGGGGAGCCGCCCTGTTTGTAGTCGTACTCGATCCCAGACGCCCGCGATGTCCACGTCCTGGGAGGATGGCCTGTGGGAGTGCGGGGAAACGTCAAAGCAGCGAGCTCTGATTGGAATGATTGGTGGGGTAGACTGTACTATAGACGCAAAGCTGCCAGCTGCCTCTGTCTCGACTCTCAGTTGGAACGGGAACGCGAACACCGGCGTTTGGTGTTCGAACGCGTCCCCTCTTGCTTACAATTCTACCGGCGAATTCAAAGGAGAGAAATTTCTGGCTACGCCACTGCAGTTTCTCATTTTCTGTCTCGTGTTTCCGGAGCCATCCGACGGGTGGGCAAGCGTCGAAGGGGCGAGCGGTAAATCTGTTTCCGCTCTGCAAAGAAGCTTCGTCTTACATGCCGCGAATGTTCTCTAAAGTCACGTGTTGGGGTTGGCACTCCGCAGGGAAAGTGCTCCAAACATTGCTGGCTGTCACAAGTTTGCTAAGAATT